ATAACTAGAATATTTTTTAAATTAACATATGGTGGTAAATGTGGCTCATGGTAACTAGAATACATCATAAGTCAGAGACTACCTGTACATTTATGATAATTTCCTCAAGCAACCCTCTTCTACTTTTTTGCTGTCACTTCTTTTTGGTTTTTTGCATCATAGTTCATTTGATGGGCTTTGAGAGGTGCTTGCTTCAAAAAGGCAGGTGGAGGTAAATTCTGATGTAAAGCACTACTCATTGTAATTTAAGCTGTGCTTTTATTGCAAAGGTAAAGCAAGGCTTGTGGTCTTAACTTCAACCACATCCCCCAAGAAATATTAAGTCACATTATTTCAGCAAATGCCTGTGAAAGCATTTTAGGTAAGCTACAATAAGGTCGCTATGAGTCGGAAACGACTCGACGGCACTTAACAACAACAACAATAAGGAAGCACAAAGATGCCAGGATGTTTGTTCAGGGGCTCAGGCCACAACTCTTCTGTTTGTACCTTTGCATTCTAATAAGTATGACAATAATAGCAGCAGAATTTATTTAGTGTTTAATAAGGTGCTGGCACAGCTGTGTGCACATTTATTTATATTTATGTTTATGCCTATAGTTACAGTCTCATGTAATCTATATATTTGTATATTTATGTAGATGTTGTTGTATGCCATCGAGTTGATTCTGACTCCTAGTGACCCTATGTGACAGTAGAACTGCCCCAGAGAGACTTTCCTAGGCTGTAATCTTTATAAAAGCAGATCTGTAGGTCCTTTTTTCCCACAGAACAGCTGGATGAGTTTGTGCCACTGACCTTTTGGTTAGCAGCTGAATGCTTAACCATTGTGTCACCAAGGCTCCTTTATATATAATATATATTTAATCCTCACTCATTTAATCCTCACAATGGCTATATGAAGCTGGTGCTGTTATGATTCCCATGTTAAAAGTGAGAAAACAGGCCAGAGGAATCTAGTACTTTGACCAAGATCAGCAGGCCCTAGAGTTGGCTCTCTTAACTGCTATGCCATAACCATAGTGTCCATGTTTACTCAGGTTAGTTCTTAAGAGACATCAGCTCTCTTCCCCACATGCTTCTTTGTGATTGTAACACTTTATATCTTACTCTGATCAAAGCTATGATTTCACTGGCTCCTGCCGTTGCCTGGGAAATAAAGGGTAGCGTTATTGATTGATGCTTCCTGTTTTTTAAAAGAAAAATCAACTGTCTCAAGGGATGGTAAAAACGGCTCAGTAGGATCCGTTCTCTTGAATATCAAAGACCAGTACAGGCAATGGCACAAAGCACAGACCTGTGAAAATGAATTGCTGGGATGCATGGGTGCTAGGAAATCAACACTTAGGGAGTATTCCGTGAATACATTTCTTAAAAATGTGTTGACTAAACAATAACACTGTACTCTTCCTTCAGGGTAAGAGGAAAACTGAAATACCCAAGCATGCCTGCTCTGTCTAGAGTTAACAACCTCATAATTTTCTCTCTCACAAGGTTTATTGGAAGAAGACAGCCAGTGGATGACCCAGATAAATAGACTCCAGAAATTAATTGACAGACTGGAGAAGAAGGTGGGTGCTTCCTTTTGTTTCTTCTCTGATTTTTCAAGCGTTTCTGACCCAGTGTTGTTCGTTGCTCCAATATCCATGGCTGCCCCATGAATATAATAACAGCCAGGATCCCAGCTACCCTACAAATAGCTGCTTGGTAATACATGATTCTGTTTGTTAAAAAAGATATAGAAGTTCATGTTACTTCTCCCCTCCAATCTCAATATATTTCAAATAAGATGAGAGATTGAGAGCTAAACGCATCTACTGTGTTGCCTGACTCTGGTTGTCAGTGACTAACATGTCAGTGTGCTTGACCTGGTTGAAGCCTTGGAAATATTTCAAATTGATTCAGGGATGTGGCTATGTGATATTCTAAAATATGAGATTCTATATTCAACATTTAGAAATTAGCATATTAAGTGATGATTTTTGCCTTTAAAACTACTCAGTTATTGGGCAAGTTAGGATATGATGAAGAGTTCTTCAAAACCATATTTCATATTTCTAGTTATTGTGTATGTATTTTTATTGAATAAATCAATTAGTACCAAAGAGTCCTGATATTATAGGGATACTCCCTCTGCACAGCTTTGATATTAGAGGCAGCCTTTGCCAATCAATAAAAAATGTAATTTCTGTGCATACCATGGTATCAAGGAAGGTACATTTATGGTTTCGGACAGCTTCACTCATTTTGTAGAACTTACAGTCAACTTATAAAGAGAAGCTATATTTCTTTTTAAAAAACTAAAAGCTATTAACAGATTTTTTTATTGGGATCACATAGAATGGGGTTCATAGTTAATGCTCAGTTAATCCTTGCTGACTGACTGAAAGATGCCAAAGGAGTGAAGCAGATATTAAACTCCACAGACGATCACTTGACAGGAGGGTCACTGTGAACTGGCATGCTCAGTAAGGGCAGCATGTGGCAGGAAAAGCATAAACTGAGCCATTAAAATGATGACTCAAGTAGGAATTTGGAGTGCAAGCAAAAGAAATTATTTCCCTGATTTAATCAAAAAGAGAAAAGACTTACTGATCTGATAAAGACTGGTAGAACCCCCAAGCCTTTGGCCCTTAGACACCCTTCAAGCCTAGAACTGAACCCACTCTCAGGGACCAACTTTCAGCCAAACAGACAGACCTATAAAGTGCATAATAATACACAGGAGGAATGTATTCCTCAGTACAATCA